TCCACTGCCCCACTACCAAGTATATAAAATTTGTCTGGAGGCACGCCTTCCATTCCATCGAGAAGGACTGTCGCCATGCGATCCGCTCTGGCAGTCACCCCCGTCACTGCTACTGTAGAAGCTTCCACCTTAGGGGCCCCTTGCCCCTCCTCTGATAGAGGTATACGGGTCTTGCGCGTGATCATCTGTAACTCATCGCGAGCCGGCTTCGATGCCGCCAGGTACTCCAGAATAGAGCATTGCATGGGCTGTCGAAGAGCCCTCCTCAGCGGCTCGACCGTGTCAATCTCGTCCAGCGAACTCTTCATTAAGAACTTCTTCACTCCCCGCTTTCGAGGCGAAAGGATAACCTCCTCTCCATCGATCCGCTGCCCGTCCTTCTCCGTCATCACGTAATCCGTGTCAGTCTTCTTCGACGTAGACCCTCTTGCCGACTTCGTGGCCGCCACTCTTATGGGTGTGGTCGCCATGTCCCCTTCAAAAGTTATCTTGATGCTCTGGCTTCTGACCGACTCCATTCCTTTACTCGTCTTTATTCTCCTTGCTTCGACATTCTCCTTCATCGAAGAGAACATCGATACATCTCCGAGATTATCTGCCCACTTGACGTACTTGCGGTCGTCAAGCACAACAAGTCCCTCTTCTATTGCCCGTTTAAGGTCTGGACAATCCCTTTTGATATGATTTTCTCCTCTACAGTAGACGCATGAGTTTCTCGGAGTAGATGCCCTGTCGTCCGCACTTCTAGGGATCGATTTCCTGGCCGCGTTGGGGTCAGGCGACTTTGGATATAGCTCTGATGAGACACCATATCCCCCCCTCTCATTCCGACTGCGTGAATCGTTGCGCCTGTCTCCTCCAGACCCTCCTTGCTCATACTGCTCTCGCGAGTCATTCCTGCGGTCCCTCGAGACATAATGTCCTCGTGACACATCGCGTCGGTCTCCTCGGTTGTACCATCCTCGCGACTCGTCGCACTGTCCTCTCACGTCTTCCCCGCGATCAAACCGTCCGCGCGACCCATCTCGTCGTTCCCAGTCTCGGTCTCCTCTCTCATACCTACCACCTCGGTAGACATCTCGGCTAAACCTCTCGTATCTGTCATCCCTATACCCATCTTGGCCCGATCTCGCGTATCTACCTCCCCTATATCCATCTCGTCGGACCTGATCTATCTCCCATCGGCCGAGGGAGTCGCCCCTCTCCCGGTCAGTCTCATAGCGGGGGCTCCGCGGGTAGTCGTCCAGCCTCCTCGCTCATACGAACGCATCGTGATCTCTGCGGTCTCGGTCTATCTCGTCGTCCCTACGTCGCCACTGTTCCTCATCTCTCTCACTCTCTCGCATCCGATAATCAGTCAGCGTCCGAGGATTTCTATCCTCGACGTTCCTCCAGGGATCGTTGTTCCTACGGTCCCAGCGAAGCGAATAGGACCCTCCAGGTTTGTCCCGGTATGCCGTGACCCCTGTAGTGGATACAATTTCAGTAACCTGCCTCGTCAATCCCTTCACCATATCCCGTATCTCCTTCACTTCCTCAGCCACTGCCTCGTTCTTCTCTGACCAGGGATAGTCCTTGAAATCAGGACATCTATCCGTGGCATATTCCTT